AATAGAAATCAATAATATGGTTTGGTTACAGCTAAATACTCTTCTTTTGATGAAGTTAAGTATAATTCAATATGTAACAAATTCTTACACTTTTTTATGTATTCTTGGCGGCTTTAACTATGAAGGTCTTTAACCAGTGTCAGGTCCAACGTAAGTGATGAAAAAGTTGAACTCCTTTGCTCAAAACAATTCCGTATTTTTCTTTAGTTTCATCAATATGAACAACTAACAAGAATCAATATTATATTTGTAACATTAGATATAAAAAAGTTCTACCTGAAATGATTGAAGTAAGTCTAGCCTTCCGTGATCCGATCACAAGTGTGATAAACGATCCAATCAAAAATAATCCGATCACAATTTGTAACGTAACGTAGGTAAGTAAATTAGATTGATTTCAGCCATAGAACTTCGAAATAAATGTAAATTATATTGATTTTAACCATAAAACTTCGAAATAAATGTAAATTAAATTGATTTCAACTAGAGAATCTCAGCTCAAGTGTGATTAAAAATGATCCTTTGTCGGAGTATTCTTTCCATCTTGATCGCTGTTGGTCTATTGAGAAAATGTTGTTGCCGTCTTTGTTCTCAAGGAGCACACACAAAAAAAAGAAATAGTAGATTTTTTAGGTTATGTGGTAAGCACATATTTGCATTAATAAGTGTCCCATGTAAAAAGTGTCATACATTAGTATTTGACCAGACATTAGGCTCGAGCTATGCATATAGCGGCTGCTATTTTATAGGTGCTATTCATAGGCGCTATTTAATTCGTGTGCTGTGTGTAACACCGAGGAGGAATATCATAGCCTTCTATTCTTTTGTACATTTGAATGTGAGTACGAGAGAGATGTAGAAAATAACGCACAATATGCATAAATGCATTAAAACGAGATAAATAGCGCCTATGAATAGCGGCTATGAAATAGCAGCCGCTATATCAATAGCTCAAACCTAATGTCTAATTTGTAAATTTGACAGTTTATAGATGCGACACTTTGTAGATTACAAATATTAGTGCAAATACATGTGACACTTTGTGGTAGATTTTATTTGTTGTGTGGTAAACTATGTGCCTACCACATAACCTAAAAAACCTACTATTTTTATATTTTGTATGCATGTTGTTGTTACTCTTTCCACCATTCGCCAGTTCTTTAACTTTTCGGTAGATAACGCTCATTTCGTGCTTTTGCGCTGCCTCTTCTGCTTCGTCAGCTAGTTTGTTGGTGAAGGTGCGTTCATATTCATACAAAATGTTAATATTGTGTCGACTCGTTACCTCAAGAGAACGATAACTTGTAAACAACACGAAAATAATAGAAATCAATAAAAACAGCACATTTTTTGCCTATGATTTTGGATTATAACATGAAACACGTCTTTTGTTTGTGTTAGCATTTCAGAAGCGACGCAATATTAACCCAAACGGATCCGATCTCAAATGGATCCGGTTCTAAACAAGATATAAAAATTATATCTAAAAATAAAATAATAGTTTTTACTATATTAAAATTTTCTATATAACATATCTATTTGAACATTTGTCATATTCGAGATTTTTAATTTGACAGTCGTGAAACTTTGCGAAACCTAATTTTCGGCTAAAAAACTGATCTAGACAAAATTTATACGCCGCAAAATGAAAAAAATATTTAATATATTTTTTTCAATAGTGAAGATTCGCATTCCTTATCAACAAAATCGCGATTGGCATCCGCCTATTACTTAATAGGTCTCATTTGGCTGCTATATGGCAACGTTATATGAAACTCTCGGAGACTCGGTATAGAGCACATAAGAAGTGAAAAAAAATCCTGCACAACCAAATGGTCTAAATCATCTGGCTCAATCATAATGTAAGAATTTGTTATCTCTGCTCCGACACCGAAATTGTATTTAAAAAAGTCTGGTAAGGCTTATTTACTTGCCGAACAGTGAGTCAAAGTCTTCGAAGAGATATAACTTATAAGACTAACGTCAAAAGTAATACCCTCAAGGAAAAGATATAAATTGGCGAACGGAGCGAGACGAAATCAAATCTTATCTACCGGTTTTCTGTACAAAATAGTCTTAATTTACGCTCTGATGCAACAATCATATTTGAAGTGAACCGAAACAAAAAAAAAACTGTCCTGAATGCAACTTTTATTTCTTTTTCGTTAAATTTTAATTCTTAAATTATTTTTAGAAGGATCTCGGATCACCAATTGAAAACCACTGATTCATGGCAAAGTCCAGCATTTGATACAATTTAAAATAAAATCACACGATATTTACAAATTAAACGCAAATGAATTTACAATTTGAAAGCATTGTTCTTGGGAAATCAACATAAACAACTAACTCTATGCTTGAATTATTTCGCTAGTTTTGCTTCTGGTGTTTGTACGGTATTCAATTGTTTAAGCGCTTCATCATATAAACTGCCAACCGTTTTTGGTAAATTTGTCAGAGCCTCAAACGTACTAATTACACCTTGATTGTAATAGTGGTTCGTTGTTGCGCAGAGCATTAGTTTGTCATCTTGAACTTTTTGCACCTAAAATTGTGATAAAATAAAATTAAACTTAGCCAAATCGGTGCCAAACATTTTGTACTTTAATGTTACCTTCAATTTAAGTGAATCGGGCGTATTTTTCGCAATGTATGCTTTTGCGCAAGCAAGCAACTGATCATATGCACGTTCTTTTCGGCTTAATTGTGACCATATTTCCAATTGATTGGTCCAATAAATAGCTGTCGATGCAATCACGACCTTGAATGCCAACCTGAAAACGAAGACAATACAAATTAGGTTTTTTTACAAATTCACACACAGAATGAATAGAAAAAATTATTTACTTGAGAACCATTATGAAAACAAATGAATGAAGGACGTGAAATACACACAGCTTATGTAATTTTAAAGAAGTTGAATGTCTTACGTTTTGACAGAAGCCAAACAGTTGCACCGAACGTCGCCAGAGGGCTTGATCGAATACAGTTACCGTAGTTACCCGCACTGCTGAATTGAATGTCAAATGACTGATTCATTCCACTTTCATTTATAGTCCGAATTCTCATCGAGCGAAAATTACATCGATTTTGTTACCTGGAACATAATATATCAAAATCAAAAGCAAAATTCACAAGTTCTTAAAATCAAAATCACAACAGTACTTGAACAAATTATCAGTGATTTCAAATAGAGAAACCGAAAAGGCTTTGAGTTTAATCGAAAAACAAAATGATTGATGACATTAAAGATGAGGTAATTATTCGTTTGTGTTTGGCATTGGTTGCTACAGTCGACAATTGTTTATGCATACATATTGTCGTCATCGTTGTTGTTCTTTTTGCTTATATGAATTTTTTTACCAAAGTCGAAATTTGTGCTTTCTAACTTGATATTTTATTTTATATCGATTTATTTGTGTTTATTTTTTTACAGAATCAATTCGTCGTCGACGATGTGAGTAAAATAATTAAAGAAGCTATCGAAAACACAATTGGTGGTAACGCATATCAACATGACAAAGTGAATCATTGGACCAAAACGGTGGTTGACAATTGTCTCGCTGTCTTGACAAAACTTCAAAAACCATACAAATACATTGGTAAGTTTTAAAAAAATCATCTGTACAATGAAAATTCCTTATGAACCTTTTTTCGAGTTGGAATATTTACAATCTTTCCTTTTCATTCGTTTTCTTGGTTTGGATAAATTTTACAGTAACTTGCATGATTATGCAAAAGAATGGTGCCGGTTTGCATACAGCTAGCTCATGTTATTGGAACAATGAAACGGACGGTTCGTGTACGGTAAGTGAAATGAAATCAACCAAAATATGGCAATGATTTGTGCAACAATTTTCGTTGTGAAAAAAATGAAAGATTTTTCTTCAAGAAAAAAGAAAGAAAATGCCCAATATTATGTTTGTTAATTTAAGCCATTGTTGGTTTGCACACTTTGTTGCATAGCATATTTCTAGTATTTAAAAAAAAAAAGAATTTTTTCGCATCATTTGCTAATCATGCTAATGTGATTTTGTCTTTGTTTCAATGTGTTTCAGGTTCGTTGGGAGAATAAGACAATGTATTGCATAGTATCTGTCTTTGGTTTGGCCATTTAAAAATCTACACACCACTATTCCTTCCCACAATAGCCGCCAATATCTTCAAAGAAATAAATGGCTTCGAAAGCGTCCGTTGTGTAAAATTCTTGAACAATGGAATTAAACAATTGATATAGTTAGAGCTTAATGGATAAGTTAGACTAAAAAAATCTGATTTAATTTGTAATTTTTATGAACCGAAATAAATTGAACGCAAATGGCAATAAAAATGAAAAAAAAAAAATCATTGAAATTGACTAAACTATTGGCTATGTATATCGGAATTTGCATCGGGTAAGTATTGTGTGGATGGATGTGTGCGTGTATATGTGCTGAATAGTGAATTTTCTCATCTGAACCGACATACACACGGTATTTGAATGACATTTCGTTCCGTCACACATACATAAATACATTGAATCATACCGATGATTATAATAAAAAAGATATTGTGCATTTCGATAGAGTAATTAGTTGTGTATAAACAATTTTTTTCTCGGTCGATTCTAAATGTTGTGTTATTTTCGATGCAATTTTCTCCGATTAAATAGTGAGACACATGAATATTTCATTTAATTTATGTTATGAACACGCATAACATCAAACATCGTTTGTGGTCAATTGGTGAATTGTTTGTGTGTCACGCATCGTCTTCGTATTATTTATTGGAAATACACTTCAGACATACCTTAATACTCGATGAAAATTCAGTTGGGGATACTTACATTGCACACAATTTACTCACATTTTTATTTTTATTACACAATTTTCTTGCGCCGATATACACAATCATTGGGATTCTATAGAAATAACTACTTGACAAATGTTCTATAGCTATCAGCTTATTGTCGTGGTGTGAACAGTGAATTAAAATAATAATAAGAAGAAAAAAAACAGCTATTCCTCTCTCATACGTATAAGCGCAACAATATAGAGAAAAGAATATTTATCAATTAAGCATGATGATGACAAACAAAAGTAGCCAAATTACCAGAAAAAAGATGCAAGTATCATTTGTAATACGAGATGCCGAAGAAAAACGACATCGGAATGGTGTGAATGCACTTCAGTTGGACCAAAACAATGGCCGATTGTATTCTGCAGGTTAGTTATCACAATGGCCAAATTATTTGCGATCGAAAACGATAAAACATCATGTCAACTAATTGTTACGATTTATTTTTCGATTTAATTCGATATTAGGACGGGATGCGATAATTCGTGTGTGGAACTCAAATCAAAGTAGTACACAAGACTGTTACATACAAAGTATGGAACATCACAATGACTGGGTCAATGATATTGTACTGTGTTGTGGCGGTAGAAACTGTAAGTCTATCATATATTATCTAATATGTTTTACATGTTTGTTGTTCATTTCACAGTAATTAGCGCAAGTTGTGATACAACTGTAAAAGTCTGGAATGCTCATAAAGGATTCTGTATGTCAACGCTACGAACGCACAGAGACTATGTACAGGCGTTGGCATACGCAAAGGATAGAGAGCAGGTATTTCACAGCAAAATCAAAATTCAACCATTTTTTGTTTTGTTTTGTTTTCAAATAAAAATGCAATAACAACGTTGATAGGTCGCAAGTGCTGGATTAGACAAAGCCATTTATTTATGGGATGTAAATACGTTAACTGCATTAACAGCCAGTAATAATACAGTAACGAGTTAGTATTAAACCCATTCATAATTTTTATTGTCCAAATTCTAATTGATTTTTATTTAACATTTTTGGATTTGAATAGCATCGAATTTAGCCGGTTCCAAAGATTCAATATATAGCCTAGCTATGAACCCGTCCGGTTCAATAATAGTCAGTGGATCCACAGAGAATGCATTACGAATGTGGGATCCGCGGACATGCAATCGCATTATGAAACTTAAAGGACATTCCGAAAATGTAAAGGCACTTATTTTTTCAATAATTTTTCCACTCTGTCCCATTATCATCATTCACATTCATACATTAATTGAATCGTTGCGGAGAAAAAGTAGCTCTTATTTCTCCAAATAATACTGCAACATAAAGTTTTTTATGAATAGTTCATTTGTTGTATTACAACAAATAAACCGTGTGAAAAAAAACTTCATGTTGCAGTATTATTTGGAGAAAAATAAGAGCTACTTTTTCTCCGCAACGATTCAATTGTAGTATGTATTATGACATTGCCAAATGATGACGATCATAATAGAAACAAAATGTATGTTTGTCATTTATTTTGATTATTTCTAATCTTTTCTTCTGTGGTTCTCCGCTAGGTTAAGGCACTTGTCGTATCAAACGATGGATCTCAAATCATTTCAGGTAGCTCAGATGGTACGATTAAAATTTGGAGCGTTGGTCAACAACAATGTATACAAACGATTCCAATACATTCCGAAGGTAACGAACAAAAAATAAATAAAATGCTTCATACTTGCCATTATTAAATTGATGCGTCAAAATGTTATTTTCTGTGGATATTTCAGGTGTTTGGGCACTGTTAGTTACCGAAAATTTTTCACATGTGATTTCGGGCAGTCGTGATAAGAAGATTTATATGACTGACATAAGAAATCCAATCTCAAGTGTTTTGGTGTGTGAAGAATCAGCGCCGGTGCTTAGTCTATGTTATAATATCGATCAGACTGCTATTTGGGTGAGTGTGAATTTTATTTTACGCTTTCAGCAATTTCATGTGCAATTCTCGCTACGTTCAACCAATAAAAATAATAATGATAATATTTATGTTTCATTTAAAGGCGACTACTTGGAATTCGGACATAAAATGTTGGAAATTGCCACGATACGATCGTTCAAATTACAATATAATTAATGATGGAAGCACGTCAAATAATAAAGACAATGAAATTGCTTGCATTAAAGGTAATAATAAATAAAACGTGTATGAGTCTGCACATTTTTTACGGTCATTTCATCAATAAAATTGACATTAATAACAAAAATAAATAAAAAAAAATCTTCCCCGTCCATTTTCCGGAAATGGTTTTGTTTCTCTCTTTTTTGTCAGGTGGAGCTGCCATAAAAAAATGCGTGGTACTGAACGACAAACGGCACATTATAACAAAAGATACCGACGACAATGTTGCAATTTATGATGTACTGAAAGTAACAAAATACAAAGATTTGGGACAAGTCGATTTTGATAACGAAATAAAACAACAAAACCAAAAGGTTTTTATTCCCAATTGGTTTACGGTCGATTTGAAAACAGGCGTAAGTATTATTGAAATTCGATAAAAAAGAACCCTCGCTTTTTCGCTAGAGAAAGGGAGAGAAAAATGTTCGAATATAAAATGTTTTTATTGATGTCGCTCTTTTTTTAGATGCCTACAATCGTTCTTGGCACCGACGAAGTAGACTGTTTCTGTGCATGGGTTTCCGCTGAGGCTGGCCTACCCGAACACGCTGAAAGTGGTTCCGACTTAAAAGTAAATGATATAAATAAGCATACTTCACCATCGATTTACATGTTTTTGCGCACAATGCACAAAGGTTATAAACCATTTATTCTTTTATACATTTACAGATTAATTATGGCAGTCTTCTACTTCAGGCATTGCTAGAGCATTGGCCATTGACTCATACGCACACATCAAATGATGAAGTGATAAAAGGAAATGAATATTTTTCCGTACCAAAACATACACCAGTTATATTTGGGTAAAATATTTGTAAATCAATGCAAATGCATGTTGTACGAATCAATTTTTTTGTTTAGTGAGGTTGGTGGTCGAACAGTTTGTCGACTATTGGTTCGAGATGCGGCCGGTGAAAATGAATCATCGTTGCTACATGAAACGGTTCCATCCTGGGTAACTGATATCGTTGTAGAAAAAACTATTCCAAAATTCGTAAAAATTCCATTTTATTTGCTTCCACATCCGCAAATGGTTAAGCAAGATCGAATGAAAAAGGTATATTTATTTGACATTTTTATTTGAACGTATAAAATGTCCATTTATTTAAATGGAATTTGTGCTATATCTTCTTTCATTTTATCGATAGGATCGTCTTGTAGCAAACGAATTCTTACAATGTCGCAAAGTTTGTGAGCACGTATTAGATAAAATTTTGGGCTCAGAGTCTGGCGTAAATACAATGATTAGCAATAATTCGCAATCGAATCAGAATGATAATAGTTCAGAAGGTTCTCAAGTACCACCGGAAGAGAAAATTGAGCTGTTTTGTAACAATGTCGTAAGTATATTTTTACATAAAATACAATTGTGACCATATGGTATTTATATGACTGACAATTTAATTTGTTAATATATTGCAATCAATATTCGATGTTCTTATAAATTTTATTTACTCACAGCCACTTGATCCAAACATGGACCTGAGAACGGTGCGACATTTCATTTGGAAGCAATCGGCCGACCTAACATTTCATTACAAAACAAAACCGAATTTTATCTAGAGCTAAGATCGATGACAACAATCAAATGATGGAACTGTGGACATGCGGACAGGCTGAGAGGCAAAGATAGTGAGAGAAAGAGAAAGAGAGATTGAGAGAAAATGGAGCCACACAATATTTTCGAAATATCTAATCAAATTCACCAAATAATCATTTTAATCATTTTAAATTTGTTTTCTTTTTGTTGCGAAGCACATTACATCCGTATCGGTGTGGAGAAAAGAGATAAACAAATAATTGAACAATCAAATGAGAGAAAGATAGAATATCAGAGATCCGAATAAAAATGTATAAATTTGCTTAATTTCTAATTATGTTCTGTTAATATTCGTAAACAATTCAGTTTTATTTTATAAATATCGTTTAGGGAACAGTCAATTCAATCGAAGATGTATGAACGAAATCAAAGTGAAATAAAAATGCATACGATTTTGTACGAAAATTGAAGAAAAACTATAACCAATCTGTTATTATTTTGAATTGAAATGGCAGACAGAGAAAAGTTACCACAACCAAATGAAGGAATTTTCATCAAATTAGCATTGAAGGAGAGAAGAAAAAAAAACAAATGATTGGGGCAATCGAAAATAAATGACTTAGGTGGTTTGAAACCGTTGCATTGAATGATTGAAAATTATATTGAAAATGAGATTTTGAGCGGCAAAGCAGACACCAAATATACTGCAATTCACCAAAAATGTTTCCTTAAAGTTTTTCCAATGTAGTGTATCATTTTTCGACAAAAACTTTGAAGGTCGGCATTGAATCGGTTCGAGCCTATTGGAAGAGCGCACAAGCATACACAAACTGAAACATCAAATTGAAATTGAAAGAAAGAGAATGAGTGAGAGAGAGAGAGAAAAATACAGGTATAGAAATTTCGATATGGTCGGATACAATTGAGATGTCATTGATATGATAACCATATTATAGTGTGGATGCGATATTCTTTTCTCAAGGGTAAGCCGATGCAATTATTTCTGCTGGTTGAATCATTGTTATTCACGTGAACTGACACCAAAGTTATTTCAATAGTATTGTGAGGTCGATTGCATAGTTCGCGAAGTGTACTAATAATGTTGAATGTATATAAATCACCATATCCAACCATATCCCACAATGTATAACAACAATCTAATACTTTATGCACTCATGCTTTTTCAATGTATAGTACGGTAAAAAGAAACGCAAACACGTTTACATCGAAAAATTGATCTATAAGTTTGATTCTCGATTCTTCAATTTGAGCCAGTGAATTATTATTATTATAGCCTTTTTTTCTGTGTTTGAAAAAAAAAATACACATTCGGTAAAGTTCTATGTGTTGCATGACCGTCCACAAAGGTGCAAGGCCAATTTAATGCTAAAACCCGCTACACCTATACGATTCTCAAGAACAATTGAAAACATGTTCTGCTCTTTTTAGATTATTGACAAATTGTCGAAATGAATGAAGTTTCTTCGAAATAATTTGATATTTATATGCATGCCCGTCGAAATGCCATTTTTGGTTGTTGGTTTTAAACTTTTCAAGCATTTATTCAGATGGGCTTTAGTTTGAGAAAAAACAGCAGAGTGCAGCAATTTGAACGCACACAAATAACATTTTAATGGAGAACATAAAGTTGAAATGTGCGGCAATAAAAGAGTAAATTTTAATCGATAAAAGTACATTAATAACCTGGCATACATGGGCGCAATAAATTAATTTTTCATAGGTGGTTGAATGACACTGTATATTGTATTAAAATCCAAAGAAATTGCGAATGTATATGTGGATCAATTTTGATTTTGATATGATATTATTTGTTACAAGTATGAAAAGACGCGCATTATTTTATGTAACTTTTCATATATCGAAATGGCTCAAACTCCATTACAGAGACACCCACCCCCCGACTCTCTACTTTTCAGCTTCATAAGATTATCGCCGAAACAAAAATGTATACAATTGTATGAGACATAATTGTAACACGATCCAACAGAGGCTACAGTGCAACGCTTTCTGCTAACCTTATTATTGTCACTGTTGCTACTTTTTTTAATGAGACCCGCTACTCTCTCGCAACAATGCGATGTGGCTCAGGTCACAAAACTTGTGTGTGCGCCACTTTCGATTTCAATACACCGGAGCCCGATCATGGTATAGGATTTCCTATATAAAACTTGTAACTAACAACACCTCTAATGCGTATTCCGAGTACTAATTGACGTTTGTGACAATATGGCCGTCACGGTTTGGCAAAATCATAATGAATCGATTAAACTGCGTTAAACTGTTAAAATAAAACAGTAGAAATAAATAGATTTTAATTTTTTACATTTTTGAAAATAAAAAATCTTTTGTTTTTTAATTTTGTGAGATTTTCTGTCCACAATATTCAAAAATATTAAATTAATAAAAATAAATTGGTTGACATAACCTCACTTTTGTATCACAATAGTGATAAACCGATCAAATAATTCTGTGAGACAGAAAATCTCACAAAATTAAAAAAGAAAAGATTTTTTATTTTCAAAAATGTAAAAAATTAAAATCTATTTATTTCTACTGTTTTATTTTAACAGTTTAACGCAGTTTAATCGATTCATTATGATTTTGCCAAACCGTGACGGCCATATTGTCACAAACGTCAATTAGTACTCGGAATACGCATTAGAGGTGTTGTTAGCTACGGGCATGATCAGGCTTCGCAATACACGGTGAAACGAAAGAAAAAGTTATACTCCAATCCAAAAAGTTCATCAGTAATATGTGTATATATTTTTAATGCGATTCGCAACCTAGGGGAAATGATCTATTCGCGAATGGACAAAATTTATTGATTGTATGATCAAGTCGTCATTTTAGTAAAATAATTCAAGAAATTCGCATACAATTCGCAAGCTATTCGCAAAAAGTTATCACAATCAAACTATATAATATACGCTTGCAAACGAACCAAGTGAATAGCGGCGACGCAAGAAAACGAAGTGAGTGAATAGCGGCAGCGGATAACATTTTTTCTTTCGTTCGTTGTCGCTATTCACTCATTTCGTTTTCGTGCGTCGCCGCTGTTCACTTGGCTCGTTTGCAAGCGTTCACAATTTGATACATACAAAACTTACAAATTTTGCGAATTGTCTCACGTTCATAGCGTTTTGTTTGCGAATTGTTTTTTAAATCACAACTTTACTGGCCCATCGCTTACAAATCATTTCGCATAAAATTCGCAAAATATCGAATAATTCGCTATTTTCTGATCGAGATCCGATCCCCTAGTTCGCAACTGATATGACTTACATAAGTTTATGAGACAAACATCGGTGGTGCGTGAGCGTAATTTCATCGCTATGAGAAATGCTATTTTCCATCAAAATAGGAAATTGAAAAATAAAATAAAAGTCTTTTATCGCCATCCAAATTCAACGGGCATTACGATAATGCATTGTATTACACACAAACTTTGGCATTAAATGCGATAAAGTTTAAATTGTGTTTAATGTCTTGGTTGTTTGAGTTTCTTCAAAATCGACAGATTTACGGAATTCAGATGAAATTAAGTATTATTTTAAACTTGATACTTCATTAAGGCTCACTGCAATTCATTCAAAAATAAAATTTTCCCAATTGGGACTTTATTGGGTCCCCAAAGTTTCACGACTGTAGGAATAAAAATAAGATTTGTCGAAAATTTGTCATATTCGAGATTTTTATTTTTAATCCGAAAGTCGTGAAACTTATTTTTTTGAAAAATTTTCTCTGAGAAATACTACAAATGGCTCGCTATGGGTCGCAATTGCTCGCTATAACTATTATATCATTTTGCGACTTATAAAATTATTTTTTTGAAAAGTTTACTATAGGAAAAACTACAAATGGCTCGCTACTCACAGAAAAAGTGGAGGCGGTTTTTCCGCAAATTATTGTAGCAACAGCAGAGCTGCAATAAAAATGTGTTTCTTGTAGCTTATTTTGACAGCTACGTACAAGTGTGTGTGTTTTGACATTTTACATTATTTGTAGCATCTGTATAAACTAAAAAACCAATGTGATGTTAACCCTCTAGTGCATAGCCCTGCCTTTAGGCATGGTGTACAAATTATTGTCTAAAATATATAATTTAAAAAAAAGATTTTATTTATGAAATAAAATACATTCAGTAGGGTTCAGGCTTTCATTTTCCGGTCATTTGACAACTGGATGTAAATCGGTTGTTTAATTATAAACACGGTTGTACTCGAAAACAGAAATTTGACAGAAAAAATTATCATTTTCTTTGTTTATAGCAGTTTTACTGCAGTTTAAACAATGGTTTTGATTGTTCTCGAATTTTGTCAATAGCATTCTTTGAGAAAACCATGCGATTTTTTGAATTTCGATTATTTTTTTAAGGAATTATAAACCAAAACAATCATAGAAAAATAATTCTCATGTCGAAAAAAAATTAATGCATCAGAGGGTTAATAAAACATTTTAATATTTATTTTTTAAATAATTTTAGAAATTTCATTTTGACAATTTAAATTCGTGATTTCAGAGATGAAAAAAGTGTAAAGAGTTATTTTCCACCGAAATTTTCAACCAAATTCGACACAATTGCTCTGCACAAAAACAAGCCGAGATTCTGGAATGAAGATAATCATTAGCTTACCGAACTAAATGGCAGGTTTTTTTAACTTGTAAATATACGAAAAACATTTGATATTCATTACTTTTTTAAATTAATAGTGATATCGCTTACGGATCCCCACGGACCCCACGGATCCCAAACGGATCCCAAACGGAATTTAATTTCTTACTTACTTTTGTGAAATGTGAAATTTGAGCTATGTTCATTTATCGACCAATTGTCATGAAATTTTGTTTAGATCATTTTTTTTATCCCCACGGATCCCCACGGATCCCCACGGATCCCAACCAATTGTTTCTTACTTACTCAGCCATAGACTAGTGGTTCGCGTGCCAGGTTTGTGAGCGTGAGGACACGAGTTCGATTCTCGGTCAAATTTGGTCCGGTATTTTTCCACCGTGATTCGCTCAGGAATCGTCAGTGGTTTAATGCGGAATAGATTTGGCCGGGTTTCGGGCTAGTGGAGTGCTTCGGAAGGGCACTTAAAGCCGTCGGTCCCGTGTGTGTGCATAACGAAGATATGGGCTCAGCATAGACACACGTAAAATGGAGTGCCTTCACGTCAGGTTGTTGTATTGAATATGTGAGAGATTGCAAACACAACAACCGTAAAAAGGTAGTGCGCCATCTCTGGTGAATATACCGGTAAACCAGCGATGTGTGCATTCCTCCATTGAAATAAGAAGAGCCCAACGCCATCTAGGGATGAATGGAATTCTTGTGACTGTCATGACAATTGACTTGAGAAGAAAGCTCTGGTCACTGGCCCTGTACGGAGGCTAGTTACATGGCTGCTATATAGTGGGCCATACCGTGGGAAGCATTCTCCAAGCAATCAAGTGACAGCACAAGACGGGTCGTCATGCAATAAGTTACGAAACTTGAGCATCGAGTGAATAACTCCCCGTTTAATCCAATAATCCAATAATCCAATACTTACTTTTGTGAAATGTGAAATTTGAGCTATATTCATTTATGAACCAATCGTAATGAAATTTTGTCTAGATCATTTTTTGGCAGAAAATTAAGTTCCCCAAATTTTCATGACGGTCTTGCTTATGGGAAAAAAGAGGTGGCACATAACATTTAAAAAACGCCTATATCTGCGATTGGATTGTTAATTCATTCTTCTGTTTGAGCATCAACCTTTCTCGTAGTCGATATGGTTGGGATTTGCACCCTCTTTGAAGCAGTAGTCGATGCAGATGTTGTTGTTTTCAGTTTTATTCTCGGTTAAGTAATAGTTGATGCATTCGCTGGTTTTTACTTTCGATTCAGCTGCTGCTATTTCGGCGTTTACACTAGGTGAAACCCTAGTATAAGAGTAGGGGATACAATAAATCTTACTCATTGAGTGAATAAAAATAAGCATAATATTTTTTTATATTAATTTTATTTATTTAGTTTTATTGAAAAATATCAATCATTGTATATATCAAGCAAATCGAATAAGTTTAACTGATTAAATTCCAATCTAATTGTTTGGTTGCGAAACTATAAACCTATATTGCTATGTCTCTCTCTTAATGGTTCGATGTTCACATAAACAATGAGTTTGAATTTTAATTATTACTATTTGATTTGCGAACTCTCGATCATCCACACATTTAATTTTAAATTTGATAAATATATTTCAAAATGTAGAAACAATGTTTAGGTTATTTACATAATTGAGTAAAGTTTTTCTCTTTTTTCATTTTTCCTTTCTTGTTCGTTTTCATTTTCAAATTTTTACTATTAGTCGTCATAATTCGATTTTTTTAAATGAATAGAAATATCACAGATTTTGAACAAGCTTTAACCAATGCTTCCTTTCAAATGGAACAGGAGATGAACAAAACAAAAAAAAAATCATCTTAAAGCGATGAAAATTCTTTTCCATTCGCACCAACGAAAAAGAATTCTAATGGCTTTTTTCGGATATTGCACACATTAATGTGCGGATGATAATTTTACAAGTGTGTCAAACTTAAATGATATTATTTGTTATGTCTGTATTTTTCTAATTTCGGTATGTTGTTCATTTTTTTAATTTAAGAAATGAACTATGTCCATATTTTGAGTTTATTTGAACAAAGAGCCAGCGTGATGCCATATTCGGAAGAAATACTCGTCTTTACGCAAGAGTTTCGATCTAGCATATGATGAAATATCGGCATCCATATTGTGGTCTCTCAACCAAGATGATGTATTTTCAGTACTATATCCCGTTGGCTCTGTGAAGTCCGTTTTGCCTTCTTCGCCTAGATCAGGGCCTGAAATTGCATTAAAAAATGTTAAAAACCGAATTGATGGGGATTTGAAAGAAAGTTTATAACTTACCGGCCATTGGTAAAACTTTGTATGGTTCTTCTGATTCAAGTGGTTCACTGAGACCAACTTCGTTTCGAGCAAAGATTCGAATCATATATTCATGATCTTCTTGAAGGTCTCGAATTTGGAATCGTTGAACATCGGCTGACACACGTCCAACTTCAATCCACATTGTTCTTTTCATGTCACGAATTGCAATGTTGTAGCCTTCCAATGGCGCACCACCATCAGATTCAGGAATACCCCATTCAAATATGCTAGTATTAACACCGATACCGCGAACTTCAAGTGGTGCAGTTGGAGGTGATGGGACAGCTGAAAATAATGACAACATCATTTGAATAAAGTTCCATTTTTTTTTCAATGTTATACGGATAGATAAATAATCATGGAAATTAACTTACTCGCATGTGTTTTAAGCACGATATTCTCTGTTGTTGCTGGAGCACTGAGACCTGCTTCATTCTCAGCAAGAACTCTAAATACATACTCAGACTTTTCTTTCAAGTTGTCAATACAATATTGCAAACAGTATGAGTCAAGTGTAACGACGCGAGTCCATTTGATTGATGATGACAGCGTGGCCAATCGTTTTTCAACAACATAACCAGTCAGATCTGATCCACCATTGCTCAATGGTGGTTCCCATTGAAGTGTTACACTCTTGCTGGTGACACTCATTGCCGTGAGATTTTGTGGCGGCGATGGTGGTGCTAATTAATTTCAATAAAAAATAAAATGAAATTAGTAACAAAACAAAAGAAAGAGATTGTTTGAATATAACGTTTTCTACGTACTTATTTTATCGTCAACAGTAATTGGTTCGTCAGTAATCAAAGGTAAACCAACACCAGCTTCATTACGAGCACAAATCTTAAAGATGTATTTTGTTTTTTGTTTGAGCTTCTTGACGTGGATATAAGTTTGATTTCCTTCAGTCGTGCCCACGAATTTCCAGTCTTTTTGGGTAGATTCTTTGAATTCAACAATGTAATCAAGAACTTTGCTGCCACCATTCTTTTCAGGTTCTTTCCATGACAGAACCAATGAGTCCTTAGTCATACCAGATACATCAATTGGTGGACGTGGTGCACTTGGGACATCTATAATTTAAATTGATAATTGACAATTTTTAAAAATTCTATTCTTATGTTTGTATTGTCTTGAATTTCAAAAAAGTAATAATAATAATGTATTCATACCGATTTTCAATTTAATGGTTACTGGATTACTTTCAATTGGTTCAGATGCTCCAATTGGATTTTCAGCAACGACACGGAATATGTACTGTGCATTTGGTAGCAACTTTTGAACGCAGTAAGTCACAATCGTTTTTTCAACTTCAGCCACCTTAATCCAAACCATCTTTTCGGGATCACATTTCTCAATGCCATATTTGGTGATATCTAAGCCACCGTCATCGATTGGTGGCGTCCATGCAATCACAACCGAATCTTTCTTAATATCGGTTACATCAAGTGCTGTTGGACGTTCTGGTTTGTCAATTACTTTGAGTGTTAAATCGACCGTTGTTTCTCCAGCACTATTCTTAATCGTAATCGTATATTTACCACTGTCTTCACGTTCAACATTGGTCATAGTCAATGTAATTTCACAATTTTCATGTGTAATTTTAACGCGTGAATCGGTTAAAATTGATACCGCCTCTTTGCACCAAGTGATTGCTGGTTCCGGATAGCCAGATATTATGGCTTTAATCGTATACGTTTTATCTTTCCGAATCTTTTGATTAATGTATTTATCTTCAATCGTTATAGTTGGTTTTTCTTGGATTTTAACTCGACATGTTGTTTCAGCGGTACCCATTTCATTTTCAGCTACGCATGTGTAATCGGCTTCAGTTTCAATTGTAGTCTTTTCAATGATATACTTAGTAACACGGTTCTCATAAGTAGTTTCTTCACTTTCAATGGTCTTTTTGTTTTTATACCATGTCACTTTTGGAACTGGATTACCACCGATTACAGAAGAGAGCACCAATTTTTCATTCAAACCAATGAATTTATCAGCCAATGGCTCAATAATTGTTGGTTTTTCTTTTTCAAATGGTGCTGTTGTTCGAATGTATTCAGATATTGGTGATGGTGGACCTTGTCCGATATTGTTCACAGCTGAAACGCGGAACGCATATTCTGAGTCTGTTTTAAGTCTATCAACCTTATATGAAGTGTCTGTAATTTGTGTGATTTGTGTCCAATCGATCGAAATTTTTTCTTTATATTCCAAAATGTATTCGATAATAACATCGTTGCCATCTTCCTCTGGTGCTTTCCAGAAAAGTGTCAAAGAATCACTTGCCACTTCCAATGGTTCGGGTTTACCAGGTGCAGATGGTGGTTCTAGTTAAAGTTTTATTTAAAAAGGAAAAAATACCGTTTTAAAATCTCAATTCATTGTGCAGTTTGGACATAATACTTACTCAGTATGATTAAAGTGAGCGATGCTTGTACGTCTCCAACTGGATTTGTAAGCTTAATTGTATATTCACCAGCATCTTCATCGGCAACTTTTTTGATGGTTAATGTTGCTGAATCCTCACCCATTGTCTTTTTCTTACGTGGAGTTGGCTTAACAACAGTTCCCGATGTAAACCATTCTGCTTCTGGTTTCGGTGAACCAGTAAATGGAATCGTAAACGTAACATCTTCGTTTTCTTGTACTTTGTAGACGTTCTCTTTCAATTGAATTGTTGGTGGCAATTGATTCTCTGTAAATTCAATAATAATTTATATCATTGTATCTTTAATATTATATTTCCGTTTTATTTTATGATTGAATACTACCTTCAAGTTTGACTTGTGTATTGGATTTGGTGTTTCCTGCGATGCACGTGTAATTGGCGATATCATCATCATCAGCATCCTTAATAACTAAACGTCTAACTGTTCCTTCAACGTCAATGCTATGTTTTGGTCCGTCTTTAATCGGTTTACCGTTCTTGCACCATGTCACTTCAACATCTGGTTGTGATAATGTGACAGTAAGTTCAACGTCTGTATTCTTTGGAGCAAGTGTGACATCTGGCAATGGTACAATAAATTGTACGTCTGGTTCTTCAACAAACAATTTGGCTGTGGATACTTGATTTCCAACTTTGCATGAATATTTGGCTTCATCTTCGGGTTCCGTATCAAAAACTTTGAGTCTTTGAATTTTACCATCGATTGTGAGTTGCACATGATCATCAAAGTGAATTTCTTTCTTGCCTTTAAACCATTTAACGAATGCATCACCTTTGGTAAGTTCAATTTCAAAGACAGCTGTTTCACCCTTTGCAACTGTTACGTTCTCCAATTTCTTTACAATTTCTGGTGGCAATTCAATAACACTTACTTCAGCTGTACAAGCTTCTTCTGCCAATTGACATGTGTATTCACCTTCATCGATGACATTTGACGATTTAATAAGCAACTTACGAACTTTTCCATCTTTAACAAAGACGATCTTTTCAGGTTCTTCTTTAAGTGGCTGTCCATCTTTAAGCCATGTCACATCGGCTGTGTCAGATGTAATTTCAACCTCCAAAATAGCCGTTTCCAATTCCTTCACCTCAAAATCGTCGATAGTTTTTACAAATTGTGGAACTTTCTCGATTACTTCAACAGTTGATGATGTTTCATGATTTTTTATTGTACATTTGTATGTTCCAGCATCTTTGGGTGTTGTATCTTTAACAATCAATTTATGTACCTTATCTTCTTGCGAAACAATGCGATGGTCCATGCCGGTGAGTTCTTTTCCATTATGATACCATTTTGTTATTGTGTAATGCGATGTCTCGCATTCGAGTGTTAGGGTTTGGCTCTCTTGAATGCTAATCGTTTTCTTAAGTTGTTTGGTGAATACCACATCATCAACTTCTACAATAACACGAGCACCATGCGAAACTTTACCCAATGGGCTGCTAGCAACTAATTTATAATCGCCAGAGTCTTTGTCCGCATCAGCATTCTTAATGCGAAGCTCAACATTTTTACCATCAAATGTTTGTTCGACACGATCTGATGGTTTCAATGGCACATTATTTCGTAGCCATGTAATTTCAGGTGTTGGATGTCCGCTTACCTTCGCAAGTAAAATGATTTCACTGTTTTGCGGAACGGTTTGTTCTTCAAATCGTTCAATGAAGAATGGTGGTTCTAAATCTGGTACATGCTCTTCAATTGTTAAATTGGCAGTTGTCTCAATTGATCCAACTGGATTAACAGCCTTAACTGTATACACACCAGCAGCATCTTTGTTTGGTGAAATGAGTGTAAGAGAATGTGTGTCCTTGTCTGATTTAACATTAGCGGTAATTGGTTTACCATCTTTCAGCCATGTTATTTTTGGTGTTGGATTGCCGACAATTTGTGCGTTCAAAATAACACTTTCACCTTCGCGTATTGTTTGACTATGCAATGGTTCCAAAATCTGTGGAGGTTCTTTGTCCTTTGTACGTACTTTCAGTTGGATGGGTAAACGTGATTCACCTTCTCTATTCCGTGCAACGACTTCATACGTACCTTCTTGCACCTTTTGTACCTTTGTTATGTGCACAACCGACAAATACATATGCATATCAGATTCAGTGACAATTTTCACGTTGTTCTCCGTTTGAATTTCTTCGCCATTGAATAGCCAATAGATTTCTGGTTCAGGAACGGCAACTAAGCTGCATTTCAAAATTACATTGGTATTTTCATCGACATATTGGGCACGTGGTTTCTTTGAGAATGTTGGCGGAATGCCTTCTAAGATGTCGGCCATTGATGATTCACGTGATAAACTCTTGCGCGACAATAGACCAGCCTCTGATCCATGATCCGAAAGCGGACCTTCGACCGTTAATTCAGTTGTGCTTGATGCATAACCAACCGAATTTTTAGCAACACAAGTAAACGTTCCGGAGTCTTCGGGGAATACTTCTCGAATAACAAGTGTGGCCACATTATCGTCGTCGTAATACATTTGGAAATCTTGTGATTGCTTGATAATGGCAGTTTGTCGGAACCATGTGATCTGAGGGCGTGGATTACCTTCAACTCGACATTCAAACTGAATTGTGTATCCGTCGGGTGTTGTAATTGGCTGAAGTTTTTCAATAAATTTAGGAGCGAACGTCTTCTCACTTGGTCCCGGTTCTAAATGTAAACATAACAAAATTTGATTATACACTGTGTACAAACTTGAAGTTTTTTTAGAATAAATGGAACTCACTTTCAAATACTGGTAATTTGTCAATTTTTTCATTAAGTTTCGTCTCAACATATTGTTTGTATGAATTGGCATCCATTAGACATTGTGACGGTACCCAGCCTTTTTCGGAAGTTAATGGCTTTTTAACCCACCACCAATCAATGTTATGTTTTTCTAATTTAAAATAATATTAAAAAAGTGATTAGAAACAATTATAGATTATATTCTAACATCCAACTTACCAAGAACGTAAACCTTTTCACCCTCAACCAAATTAAGAGATTCAGCATTTTCAGCGATGTATGTGCAGTAGGAATACATGATATCTTCTTCTTTGATTGATTCATCAACGATCTCATCTCTCGTGAGGAACAGCGACGCTTCTGTTCATGACAAAATAAGTTTTTTTTTATTAATTAAAAACAGTTTTCAGATATTCATCATCTTCGTATTAATATTAACAATTAAAAAAGGTTCATTATTCACGGGCAATGACAAAGAACATAGATATTTTTTGTTACTCTAAGTCTATATTTGCCAAGAATTTGATATTTTCATTAAATTTTAATACCTTCCAAGTAACTAGATGGTAGTCGACGACTTGGCGTTCGCAATGTGAATGAATCTTCACCATACGAAACAACATCGGGTTTCTTGCGATGTGTGAATCCAACAGCAAATTCCTCATCAAGATCTTCAACAACGTATGGTTTGGATTTTCTGGGTTTCAATTTGAATTCAACATGTTCCGGCAATTCTTCGATATCTGAAAATTCTTCAGGCTCATCAATATCGTACATTGTGTCTTCGGCAGCACTTTCATCGTCATCAATTTCTTCAATGATGGGCCCTTCTTTATCATCGTATTGCTCGGTGATTTTAATATGAGCTTCATCACCCTCCTCTGAGAATGTGGGAGGTTTGGTTTTCTTAAGTTTTATTTTGCCCGACATCGATATCTCTTCTTCTGCGTATGAATCAAGTTGAATGTTAAATTCTTGTTCGACATCCTCTTTCGTTTTCGTTGATCGTGGACGGAATGTGACATGTTCAACATCAGTGTGTTCTGGAATTTCAACTTGTGATCGTCGGCGTTTCTTCAATTTTTTAATGGTATACTCATCATTATGCTCTTCTACAGCGGGCTTTGGTTCTTTCTTCTTTTTGACTGTGAATTCGGCAACAACGTCTTCAACGTCTGATTGATCTGAATCTTCTTTACGGATGGTTATCTCTGATTCAATATCTTCAGTCTGTTGTTTATCGATACGTTTTGGTAATGAAAATTCGGCCTCATTGTCGGACTCTGGTTTTTCTTCAACTTTAATCGTTTCGGCTGTATCAATATCAGCAAATTTAACTTCCTTGCGTTTCTTTAATGTAACGTCTTGGTTAACATCTTCAGTTGGTTGTTCTTTTTCTGATTTCAACGATACCGTTGCTTCAACCTCATCCGTTTTTGTCTTCTTTTTCTTTGGTTTTTTAATTGTAACTTGATCTTCATCGGCTGGCTTTTCTTCCACTTCTTCAGGCACTTTTTGCTCTTCTTCGATAGGTTTTTCGACAAATTGAACATCTTCCACAATCTCTTCAACAGTTATAGGTTCTGGTTCAATAACAATCTCTTTGGTTATGCTCAATTCATCGGCAGCCGCCTGTTTCTTTGATTTCTTTTTCTTGATCTTTAATTTTTCTGAAACATCTTCTGGGGCTGGACCTTCTTCGGTCTTCTTTCCGATTGTAAATACGGTATGATCATCAGCTTCTTCTTCTACAGTTTTATCAGTTGGTTTTTTCAATTTCAATACAACATCCTCTTGTTCTACTTCTGGTTGTTCTTCACTTGGTTTTTTCAATGTAACATCTTCGATGGACTCTTCGGTTGGTTGTTTCTTCGGTTTCTTTTTCTTTTTGATGGTAACATCTTCATCTTTTTCGATCACTTCTATTGGTTTCGGTTCTTCGATGTGTTCAGTTATTTCAACTGGTTGCTCAACCATTTCGGGCTGTTCAACGACTTCTTCTGGATATTCAACCAAATCAGGTTCGGTTGGTTTCTCGACAAATTGCACATCTTCAACAATCTCTTCAATAGTTATTGGCTCTGGTTCAACAACAACCTCTTTGACGATGCTTACCTCATCCGCAGCCGTTTCTTTCTTTGACTTTTTCTTTTTGATTTTAAGTTTTTCAGAAACATCTTCTGGTATCACATCTTTTGTTGGTTTTTCAATTGTGAATACTGCACTTTCCTCGGTTTCTTCTTCTTTTCCTTCTTCAACTGGCTGCTTCAATTTGAATACAACTTCGTTTTGTTCTTCATCTGGTTGTTGTGGTGTTAAAGTCAACGTCAAATCTTCAGCTGCTTCGTCGGTAGTTTTACGTGTGATCTTTGGTTTCAAACTAATTTGTGCTTCAACATCTTCAGTTTGATCTTGTTTAAGTGGTACATTGGCCAAAGTGAATTGAGCTTCATCTTCGCTCTCAACTTCTTGGTCTTCATCAGTTGGTTTTTTCTTTTTCAGTGACACTACAACATCCATAGCTGCCTCATCTTCACCTTTTGGAGCTTGTTGTTTCTTCTTCTTTATTGTAACTTTGGCCTCCTCACCTTCAGTTGATTCAACATCAGGTTTCTTGACCAACTTTATTTCATGAACGGTTTCCTCTTCAGGCTGTTCCGTTTCCTTTTTGTCTTTTTTAAGTGGCTTCAAGACAACTTCTTCGGTCGTCTCTTCTGGTAATGGTTTCTGTTTATAACCAAGCTTCAACTCCTCTTCAGGCGTATCTTCCGCTTCTTTTGGTTCGCCAAGCTTAAGTGGTTGCTCCGTTATTTCAGGGATTGGTTCTGTCTTCTTTTTCTTGAAACGTTTGGGTTTCTCTTCTTCTGGTGCTTTTGGTTCTTTCTCGTCTTTGAATTTTTCTACATCTTCTAAAGGTGCCTTTTCTGGCTCTGACTCAAATTGATCCAATGGTTTCAATTCATATTCGGGCTCAGGCTTTGTTTCGTCTTCTTTTACCTCGGCTTCTGGAAGCTTCTTTTGCTTTTCAACGACGCTCTCTTCACCAGACTTCTCTTCTTTAACTGTTGGTTTTAGTTTCACCTTTTCAATAGTTTCATCTTCGTCAACCGGTTTTCCCTTGCCTATATGTCAAAAATATTATATATTAAATATATCGTTATAGTCAATAAAAAAGGAATAATAAGTCACATAAAATATTTGGAAAAGCAATGGATGTACCTAATTTCAGAGTTTTCGTGTCCGTTGTCTCGTCTGGCTTTTCTTTCTTTGTTCTTTGATACGATTCTTTCTTCGACGATTCGTCGGAACTGCTTTCATATTTTTCATAAACTTCAAGTTCGGGACGTTCTAAGCTATCCTTTCTCTGTGGTTTATGTTTGAATTTCTTTGGTTTTGATTTAAGAACCTCTTCAGCCTCTTCAATATTTCTCGACAGTTCACCATGATCTTTAACGGCGCCGATGTCTGTAATCTTTACGCTCATTGGTTCTTCAATGTCAACATAAGTAATACGACTCTTAAGACGTGGCTTTTCAGATTTGCTCTCAACTTCTGGCTCAATTTGTTTTGGTTTCTTTGGTTTGAGCTTTATTGGTTTAACCTCTTCGACCGGAACGACTTTTACTTTAGTTGGTTTTTGTTCTTTTCGTTCAATCTTCATTGGTACAAGTTCACCCTTTTCTGGTAGTTTCTTTTGTGGTTTCTCAAATTCTAGCTTTTCGAACTTTTCGAGTTCCGTCTTTGGAATTTCTTGATCCAACAATTTTTGAATATAATCCTCATCCAAGTCGCTGGTCTTCTTCTTTTTTATTTTCTTTTTGGTCTTCGATACAGATGTTCTACGATCGTCAGTACTTTCAGTTGGCTCAACTGGTTTTGGTGCAGTCTTCTCTTCTTCCGGTTTTGCTTCGTCAGTTGTTTCTTCTGGTTGTACTATCTCAATAGGTGTTTCGACATCAGGCTGTTCAACTTCAATTCTTTCGATTTCTTCGATGACTGTACTGATATCCGGTTGTTTTTCAATTTCGATTTCCGCCTCTGCATCTATTTCCTTTGGTCGACGCTTCTTTTTAATTACCTTTTCAGTAATTTGCTCTTCTATTTGGTCTTCTTTCTTTGTGGAAGCTACGACAGTAACTTCGTCCGTTACATCATCTATTGGTATCGGTTTAATGGAATCCTTCTTTGGTAGCTGTAATTCTACCGTTTCCTCTGGCTGTTCTTCAACAATCGAATGTATCGATGTTTCTTCTTCCTCTTCTTCAATTTGTTCGTCGATCTTTTCTTCTTCTTCACTTGTTTTTGATACAAGCAATTTCTTCTTTTTAGGTTTCTTTGTAATTTCATCGAATTCCGGTTTTTCAAACACCTCCAATTCAGTCTTCGGAATTTCTTGGTCGATCAATTTCTGAATGTAATCATCTTTGTCGTCTTTCTTCGCTTTTTTCGTCACTTTCTTCTTCTTTAACTTAGGTTGTTCAATACTCTTTGGCTCTGTTGGTTGCACCTCCTCAATCACCACACTCTTTTCCGGTTTATCTACCGATTCTGGTGTTTCTTCCTCCTCTTCTCCTACTGAAGGTTGAACTTCTTCAATTGTAACTTCAGTTTCTGGTTCTTTACCTTCTTCTTCAACTGTTATCACCTCGATGACTTGTTCATTATCACCTTGCTTCTTCTTGATCTTTCGTTTTGTTACCTTTTGTTCAACGATTTCGCCCGTTTCAGTTGGCACCTGCAGAGTAACAACTTCTTCAGGCAACTCTTCAACAATAAGCTGACTGGGTACATCTTCTGAGTCGTCTGTTGTTGGAACAAGTGATTTCTTTTTCTTTTTAACATCTTCGAATTCTGGTTTTTCAAACACTTCCAATTGAGTCTTTGGAATTTCCATATCGATTAGCTTTTGAATGTAGTCAAGATCATCCTTTTTAACCTTTTTGACGATCTTCTTCTTCTTTGGTTGTTCCTCCTTTGATTTCTCCTCTTCGGGTTGGACTTCGGTTTTTATTTCTTCTTCAACTATTTTTTAAAAAGTAAAATCAAGATATTAAAGATAACAATATTGCTTCGAAGGAAATATGGTATATTTCACTATTTTGTTTTCATCAAATGAAAATCAACATTTCAACTTTGCAGAATTTATAAATTTCTTTAACTTCATGATATTTCTTGAATGGTCAGAATTATCTTAAAAAGTTTGCCATTGATGAGCAACAGTTTCTGCAAACGTATTAAATGCATAAAATGCCATTTAACATCCGTCCGTTATGTATAAATATGTCAAATGCTTCAAAATGTCTTTATCAAATAGATATATACTATAAGAACACTACTGCCCCAATTGCTAAAAAATCGTACTACATATGATGATCCCATCACAATTTAACTAGTTTAATTTAAAATAAATAATACTGATAAAAGGAAAATTATAAAGAAGTTGTATGACACAAATTGCTTCAAACAAAAAAGATGTTTTTTCTTTATTTGGAATGGATTTAAAATTACCTCCATTTCCAAGCGGTAAAAGTACGGAATGAAATGACTTACGTGGTAGAGTAGTGCTATCTTTTTGTGGTTTTTTGATCTTCTTAGTTTTCTTGTGTGTTGTTTCTTCTTGTTTTTCTGTGTCACTATCTACATAATCGTTTTCTGGAATTTCTTTTGTGGTTTCTGTTGGTTGTGTATCTATTTCTGACTTATCACCTTCAGTTGAAGGTCTTTCGAACGGATTCAATGGCACTTGCTCTTCACTTTCTTCTGGCAATGGTTTGCGGTCATAGTGTAGGTTGAT